AATCTCTCCAAAGGCTGCACTACACTCTCCGCTATCTGTTTCTTGGTGTCAGAGAGAAAGAGGGAGCAGGAAAGTAAGGTGAGGGAGAGAGAAGGGGTAAGTAAGGTGAGGCAAAGGTTCACAAAATGAAACACACACGCAGGAGACACACCAGGGTGCAGGGATGCTCCCACATCCCAGGTCCTAACAACAGACTTCTTTTCCAGAGGTTCATTGTCAATCAATTAGCCAAGGCAACAGGGGTCTGTGAGATGGGGGCGCCCAGGGAAACAATGGGCTGTCCTGTAGTATTACTATTTAATCACTTTTACTAAATAAATAGAGCAGCCCTGAGGCGCTGTCATGTCAAGGGAATTTATAACAACAACAACAACAACTAAAAACAACCCCTCATTTTTTCATTGGTCATTACTTTTTCCCTTCAGGACAGAGAGGGTTATTACTGCAGCCTTAAGTTCCATCTTTGTGTTTCTTGCCTTTGATTCCCACTCGGACCCTGCCACTTTCTGGCACTAATTTGTCAGGCTGAACAAAGAGGGGATTTGTACCTCCTGTAAGGTCTCAATTAGGAATGGCTTCTGCTGTATTATGTGCCATTCAGAGGAGACACAATGCCGGTAATTACAGGAATTTGCACTAAATGGCCGAAGAATTCACAGCAACCCCCCTTCCCCGTAAGTCCCCCCCCCCCCCAGGGCTGGAGAGGAAGAAAAAGGAAAGCAACAGCTCTTAATGCCAGAGATGCACAATCACCAACAGTAGTCCCCAGAGGTTAAACAGCAGCCAGGGAGCAAACCATAAAAACAACAGCGGGAAAACGGTGGAGGCCTAGGCCCACTCTCCTCCCAGTCCCACAGCCCACTTCAGTTCCACTCGTGAGCACGGCCCTGAGTGGGCAGCCAAACCACCTCCAGATTCCACATTACAAAACTCGCACAAGGAACACTTCTGAAGGTGAGTGTGGCATCTCTGTCACACCTCTAACGTTCCAGGCTTTTCAAATGCTTGTACTCAATTGCTAGATCTCTTGACTGCTGGAAAATTACTGTGTATCTGCTGAGTACAAATAAGCAGATGCACATGTCAAACCCCTAAAGAAAACAGGCATGTTGTCTCATAGTCTACTTTATAAAGCAGTTATGAATAACCCAATTTAGGACCTCTCATAGGTATGCACTTCATAAATACTTCAGTAAACTGCACAATCATCTTTTAAGCATTAATATTTTAGCATCACAGATTCCTCATTGTCAACTACAATTTTGAATTCCAGTCCATAATTTCACAGAAGCACACCTCATTTTCAATTACAGATGCCTCCCATAAAGGCCATATTAAAGCACGCGCACACACACACACACACACACACACACACACACACACACACTCGCCCCCCACCCCACCAAGTCCAGCACAGGAACTTTCTCTGAGATTCAATCTTATTGAGTGCCTTATTTATAGGCCAGAAACGAGGAACAGCAGTTTCATACAGACCTACCGGGCACCACCTCCAAAGACCTGTGGATCTTGTCATGGCTGCTATTTGGCAGTTACCAATGTGATTTCTGCATCCACATTTCTGAAACCCGGACCCCAGGCACACCCAAGTACTAGGCAAGCGCTAAATGATCGAATGAGCATGTGAGTGGGTTTTCAGATGTCAGGAAGTGGAACTGGCAAGCTCAGGGTTCCCCGAGAGACAGGCATGAACACGGTCAGGTTTCTATAGCAAGAGCTTGCTAAGCAGCATGGAACTGGGAAGGAAGCCATTTGGCTATCACACATAACAAAATGCAACTATCCCAAGTCTACACACAAGCCAAGAAATATGCACTCAGAGACCCGCATATAGCTTCAAAACTTTAACCTCAGGCATCCTGGGATGGTCTATTTTCTTCATAGGGACTCTTTAAAAATGTTAAGGGATCTAGAGAATTCTTTACTTAGAGAATTTAGTGAAATAGGGCCAACTGTCCTATTTTATATATGTAAATGCCAGTATTTGTGACTCCTCTGAATAGTAATCAAATGACATCAGAATAAAGAGCCTACTCAGTGCAACACGCATCCAAAATATTTCTAGGGGGAAGGACTAGGCAGACATTAAAAACTCAACAATCTAAAGAGGTACTCTAAAGTCATGAAATTGTGTGAATTTGCTTCTTAGAAATACATAAAGCCCAATGTGCTGGGCCGATTGACAGTCGGGAAGGCAGACACGCTGTGCAGCTGCCTTTTCAGGGACTGTAGTCATAAGGAGAATGACAGAGTTACAAAAAGCAGAGCAAGTAGTTTAAATTAACAGTGCTTGTAAGAAACACAGATCCTCAAAGGTCCATCTGCTATAACAATCTATGATAAAACAAACTGTCTCCCAGTCCTTTAAAAAAATTTCACGTTTGTTTATCAAGTTTGTTTTTAGTTTTTCTTTTGAGACTCTGCCCCCTACAGGACACACAGAGTAATTCTCAACCTGAGGCAGGAAACCAATAGTCCTCCCACTGGAAATGCAAAGGCCTGTAAAGCACACAGATCATGAAGGGGCTGAACACTGAAAAGGGGGAATGAAACAGACTTGATCTTACTTTGGAATCTGCTATATTATACATTACATATGTAAATTAGCATTCTTTCCACCCTAAACTAGAAACGCACCCGCATCCCGCTGGAGTGCCAAGCCAAAGCATGTGCTACCAGCTGAGCAGAGCGATGAACGTTAGACTTCTTATCCCATGGCTTCCCTCCTCCACTACTCGCCTATCTTCCAGCAAGCCAGATTAATCTATCGAACACCAAATTTAGACAGCCAAGGGAGGCATTCTATCACAGGGACGCTGCCAGAGAGTACTATTCTTGCCCATTATATAATGCTTTCCCTCTTCTACTTAGCTTCCCTATTTCTGCTTCTCCTCTCTTTGCCTTCTCCTGTTTTTAAAGTCTCCAATTTCCAGATGAGTTTGTTCTCAAACATCCCCTTTCCTCAATGCAAAACATGGGAAATGCACACTCCATTAGGAAGTGCTAACTAAATGACAACCCTCCTCATTCTCTTACTGCACAGTTTCTTAAAGCAGATGCTCTGGGGACAACCTTAGGAACAAGATTAGGCTATTCTCTCATCTTTCAATAAAAGAGATTACTGACCCTACCGGCAATCCAATGTCACACAGTCACACAAGTATATTAAGAGCTCAGGATGCTTATCTTGTAAGCAATTAGTATTGTTGTATGTCTGAATTCTGAAATATAATAATGTATGCACCAATGAGGCCCTGAAACACTAACAATTTCTAAAATAAATAAAAATAAGGCTAAATATACTAAAATTATTGTCTTTTTTATTTCAAAACCACTTTCAAAAGTAGCTGGCTGATTCAGCACAAAGTCTCTCTGCTCTGTCATATGTATATATACACGTATATACGTACACACACACACACACACACACACACACACACACACACACACACACGTGCGCGCACGCGCGCTACCACCTGGGGCTTCTGCACTGGCTCAGTGCTTCTCCCAATGCGGTTTTCTTTTCTGAGACAGGTTTTCACTGTATATCCCAGACTAGCAGTTCTCCTGCTTCAGCCTTCCAAGTGCTGGAAATATGAGTATGCATTGCCATATCTGGGTTTCCTAGTATTTCTGGCTCAGTGTTTCTCCTTCTGCCAACCCCACCTTCAAGTTCCTACTGCACAGTCATCAAGACCCTCCTTAAAGTTGGCTATTTTCCAATAGAAAGGTGGCCATTGTGCCTACACTGAATTTAAAGTGTGGGGTTTCATTCTGTCCACCACCATTTGCTGTTTTCAATGCAGGAGCTAGAAGAGAATATAAACCCTGCTCGAGCTTCTTGTTCGTTTTTAAACAGCATACTTAAGTCTAAAAAGCTTGACTTTAAAACTTCTTGATCAGTCTGTCTTTACGGTAAATTACAGTCACAAACTTGGGAGTTTAGTGAAAGGGGGGCAATTTTAATTTAGCTTACAGTAGATGGACAGAAGAGAACACTGGGCCTGAGGCCCCTCTGTGTCACCCTCACACAGTGGCTCCAGGAACTAGGGCTTCCCCTCATGCCTCAGGAGTCACCTGCTGAATACTTGTTTACCTCTCAGCCATCTCCACACTGCCTTCAATGATGACTTTCTATAGATTCTACCCTAAACAGGAGCTGACAAAGTCATGGTCACTCTCAGCCACCAGGTAGAAACATTTGCCTTGCCTAAGGAGTGCCAGTAGTTACTAGAACTTAAAATTCTGTCATGAAGCCGGGCGTTGGTGGCACATGCCTTTAATCCCAGCACTTGGGAGGCAGAGGCAGGCGGATCTCTGTGAGTTCGAGGCCAGCCTGGTCTACAAGAGCTAGTTCCAGGACAGCCTCCAAAGCCACAGAGAAACCCTGTCTCGAAAAAAAAAAAAAAAATTCTGTCATGAAACAATCTGTGACCTAGACAATCACAGTGATCTGTATTCAAGAAGGTAGAGGAAGCAGGATGACGGCTGACTCAGGAAGCCTAAATTCCAGTCTGGTCAAGCTTTGGCCAAGTCATTTGGATTCGCTGAGATACATCATGGCTTCTGTTTGCTTTCCAATGAGTATTAGAATGGATAGATTTGGTTTGGTTTGGTTTGAGCTATTTTTGAGACAAGATCTGGTACTGTAACACTATAGTTCTGACAGACCTGACACTTGAAATATAGACCACACCAGCTTTCAACCCATGGCAATCCCAACTTAGCCTCCTGTGGGTTGCTTAGAATTTTTTAAATTTTTTATTTTTTTTAATTAGACAGCGTCTCATTCTGTAGTCCTAGCTGAACTGGAACTCAGCAAGTGTTAGTGAAGTATACTTGTTGGAGGAGAGATACTTTTTATAAGCAATGATTTTAACAAACATCTTTAACTGTCACATGAGAAGGTTTTTAACTGAATTCCCATTGCAGGATTCTGAAAAAGTTCACAAATAAGCCAAGGCTGTACACGCACTCCATACCTGCACATTTGAAACTCTGAGCGGTAAGTCCTCGCTCCAAAGACAGCGTTGTCAGGATGCTCAAGAAGCTGGTGGTCACGGACTGGCGTTTGTTCTTCCGTAGCTCATGGCCACCGACCTGGTCCTTGGGTTTGTTCCTCAGTGTGACTTGCAGGTTTTGTTCGGAACTCCTCGCTGCATTGGCTGCTGTCTTCAGAGCCTCCATCCATTCCTGAGCCCTCTGTCGGGTCTCAGCCCGGAGGCGGAGGACATCTTGGGGAAAAATGACTTGAAAGCAAGAGTCACAACCATCCAGGTTGTCTATCTGCACAGCCAGACACACGTCCACATTGTAGCTCAACAGGGGATCTTCGTCCAGCTTGCCAGGGTGAAAGGCCATAAGATAGGCCTTGCTCAGCACAAATGTAAATGCCTTCCAGTTGTTTTGGACGGTCAGTCTGTACAGTGTCCCTGATTTGAGGATGTTTTGGTACTGTTTGGGGCTATCCAGAACAGGGGAGGACAGCAGCCCACTGGATTTCTTCTGTAAACAGTGGTTCTGTGTACCAAGTCCTGGTGAGTTTGCTGGCTCCTCCTGCCGGCCTATGTAATTGGGCACTGTAGCATGTACAACTTCCCAGAGCTTCTGCCCCCAGTCCAATGCCTCCCACGGGGACTCTGCCTTTAGTTGCAGCTGAGAATTGTCATAGAGAACAGTGTCTACCATCCTGGCCTCAAGATTGCCTAGAACAGATATGCTCTGGAACTGTGAAAGCTGGTACGTGGCATACAGGCTTTGATTCCCACTACTGTCGAGGCTGTAGAAGTGTAGGTTGTAGGGTGAGAGCTCGGCATAACAGCTTTGCCAGTAACTGTCGTGGTTTTTCCTGATCTCCAGGTAACCCTTCTTCAGTATGTTTGGGAACGTCTGCTTGTGTTCTAGAAAGAAGAAAAGAAAAGCCAAAGTAATCATTATGAGAAGGCAGGTACATGAAACCAACCACACTGGCAGCTGGCATCTTTCTAATTCGGATTAAACAAAGCAGAATAGTAAAATTCCAGGGTGGTACATAACTGGCAAGATGTCTCTGGGGAAATTTCCCACCCTGAGGTGATAAAGGTGTGCATGAGTACATACAGAGTATAGAACGTCAATGTGACACAGAGGCCTGTGTGCAACCCAGAAATGCTGGGAAAGCTGTGAACAGAACAGGTATGCCCTGTACACACAGTCACAGTCGCCAGGCTCCTCCTTTTCTAGGTAAATTATGCAGTTCCAACATACAAGAGAGTACTCCTGTCACACAAGCTAATTCCCTGCTCAGACTTTTGTCTTTTCCTGGACTGGTGAAGCCAGAAGGGGAGAACAGAAACACAGAGTGTTAACTATGCGCTTATAAATTGTTTTGTCAGGCAAGCCCACCATCCCTCAAGGCAGAACCCAGCCCTTCTAGGCAGCACCATCTCAACCCTGGGTCTCTCACCTCAGGTGTGAGTTTTCTCTGAGTCTGACTGTGCTATGCTGTGCCCTTGGCTTACAAGATTGCATCCTACGGCTGTGACCACATACTTAACTTTCTCCTGGCTTCTCTTGCCTTCCCCCATCTCCTCGGTAGAGACATGTCCCTGGGTCAGCATCAGGCAGCCCTACTACATTATTCCTCTACCACAGGCTACAATCAGATTATATTATCATAAGTTATTTAATGTCCAAACAAACAAATATTTTATTTGTTTTTTAATGTCTGTCTTCACTAATGGAGTATGCTCTCTTTTCCTTTCTATAGCACGGCACACAGGACAATGCCTTATCGATACAACAGTGGGTCCTTAGTAAGTATAACATTTGTTAGGTGGGTACAGATATAAACATATATATATATATATATATATATATATATATATATATATATATATATATTTGTATCTTAGCACTAGGAAAACTGAGACAGGAGGATCACAGAAATCTTGAGTCTAACACTAGCCTGCTACACACTGACTGCCATACCAGCCTGTACTACAAAGCAAGTATTTGTCTCAAATAAATAAAAACTGAAAAACAAAAGAAAAGTACTTGTTAAATCAGAAATAAAGCTTCTAACACAGCATCTGACAAATGTAGGTGTAATTCCTTTCCTGACCTTTCTCCCTTCCCACACTTACACATGTTTATCTAGTCACAGCATCTTTAACCCATGATAACTGATACTGAACACCATGGCAGTATACTTGGATAAAAGGCACTGTCAGTAGAGAGACTCCTGAGACCTTGTTTCTTGAGACAGGCTCTCATTTTTGTAGCCAAGACTGGCCTCAAACTCTAGATCCTTCTGCCACAGCTTCCTGGGTACTTACAACAGGTGGGACTACCACACCTAGTCTCCTGAGACCTTGGCCTGCCATGAAAGTATGTCTATGCATGGGAATGGTCACAAAGAAGTGACCTGGTAGAACATTTAAAATCTAAATCGTTTCTCAATCCCTCTGCTGACACATTCTACAGACAGCTACAGACTGAGTCACTCCCTGAAGATGGACTCCACTAGCAAAGGGGACGGATGATTTCTGCTCAGGGTAAAGAAAGGGGAAAGGGGGTGGGGACAGTGGGCTAGCTAGCTCTCATTTTAAAATAGCAAGCCAACAGAAGACAGGAGAGAAAAGAGGTGGAGAAAGGCCTATTTTAGCTGCCTTACATCTCTGGTCCTAATGCTAATTCATTACTATTTCTGTGGTAACTAAAAAGCCGTTAATTTCTCACAACCCACACTAATCCCTTTGTGGGAAGAGATAATGGATGCCTACTCTCTGGGCATCTTTCTCTCCTGACAATCAGGAGCGAGGCAGGGCTGTCGGAGGCACCGCTGCCACCTCTCCCCTCTCATCTCCATCAGGCTGCCTGCTGCATAATCAGACCTAGGCTGTGCGCCCCACTCTTCTTTCTCAGGTGACCTGGTGGCTCAGCTCTGAGTCCTTGAGTAAAACAAACCGCCTCTCTTGCTTTTAGACAGAGATTGCCACCTCCTCTCCTTACTTGCCTGAGAGCTTTTTACTGCAGCTACTGGGAATGAATTCCCAGCTTGCCTATAACTGTGCTTGGCGCAGCAGCAAAGCAAACCAGAGTTCTCACTCCTGTCTGAGGTAAAGCTCAAATGGAGATGACAGGTTAGGTAGAATGAATGGACAAGAGGTCTCACTAGGAAATCTCCAGGGTACTAAAGCTAACCTGTGCTCCAACACTGGTTCCCACCCAATAAGACCTTCTATCTTTGTTCTCTAGGCTTCAACACTCAGGAAGCTTGGTCAGGAAGACCACCTGAGTGTGAGGCCAGCCTGGGCTACAGTGAAAAGCCCTTACTCCAAACAAACAAACAAAAGTCATGAGGATAGGAGAGGGGCCAAGAAGCTGGCACCTAGTCCTGTCTTAGATTTTGTGCTTCTAGGATTAACATCTTTAATTATAGGGGCCTGGGGAATTACCCTGTCTCTTTAATTTCTGGCAACTATTATCTTATATTGGATCTGGAGTATATTTTTAATTCTTTTTTACTACTGACAAATCAGAAGATATATATACATATATATATGTATATATACACACACAAACACATATAGCCTCAGTTGTAGTTTCACCCAGATCTTTTTATTTTAACTCATTTAGTTTACATATACTTTTTTTTTTTTTTTTTTTTTTTTGGTTTTTCGAGACAGGGTTTCTCTGTGGCTTTTGGAGGCTGTCCTGGAACTTGCTCTGTAGACCAGGTTGGCCTCGAACTCACAGAGATCCGCCTGCCTCTGCCTCCCGAGTGCTGGGATTAAAGGTGTGCGCCACCAACGCCCGGCCTACATATACATTTTAAAGTGCTCAATTTCACAAGGGAATTTCAATCTTAATGACTATAAGTGATTCAGATAGGATCACTAATAAGATTTACACCATTTCTAGAGCAAAAACCAAACCAAACAAAAAATGCGAAACCTGCTCTAAATAAATCACCATGACCTGGAACTTTCACAATGAAACTACTACCCAGAAATTCTTCATAACAACCCCGGCAGCCGGCCATCTCACCTCCACTCCCTGCTGCCCAGCATGCAGCTTCAGTTCCTCCTTGGGGAAGATCCTTTCCCCCCTCCTGGTCATCCCCAGAGATGCAGGTTTGCTACTGACTAAAGGGGAAGGGAAAATGTTCCCAGCAGGCAGCCTGATTAACTTCTGTACGCCCCGCCCACCAGAGTTCCTCTTTTGTCATTACTTCCTCATCAGTTCCCCAAAAAGTTTCTTTTTCATGGCGTCACCTTCATCAGGATCCAAGTTGCCTCCTCCTTCCTGGCTATCCCACAGTATCCCAAGCTAATTTTCCTGGGTCTCTCTTGTCAGGCCAAAACCCTTCACACATCCTAAATGCCATACTTACTTAGTCCAAGCTCCCAAGCTTGACCTTCAGTATACTCCATTATGGAAAATTTCAAACACCCTCGAAGACAGAGGAAGTGACCACTATTTAGTTTCAAAACGCATTGGCATGGGTTGATGACTCAATAGGTAAAGTGCAAATGAGGACTTGAGTTTGGATCCCAAGCACTCATGTAAACAGTCAGGTAGGGGTGCAGATCAGTAATTCCTGTACTTAGGGGATAAGGACTTGCACACTAGCCAATCTAGCCAAAACTGTGAACTCTAGATTCAGTGAGAAGCCTGTCTCAAAATACAAGGTGGAGGGAGACAGAGGGAAGCATGTGATGTTGTTCATCTCTGATCTACACACACTCACACACACACACACATACACACACACACACACACGAGAGTGCATTCACACAAACATGTATATGCATATGTACATATGCATACACACATGCACATATGTACATATGCATACACCACACATACACACATACACGAGTGCATTCACACAAACATGTATATGCATGTGTATATATGCATACACACATGCACATATGTATACATATATACACCACACACACACACACAGAGAAAAGTGCATCTACAAGCACAGATGCACACATATTCATACACCACACACAAAGTGTATCCACAAACACAGATGCATACATATGCATACACTACACACACAGACACAAACACACACCGATCAAGTTTCTACATGCTTTATCACCTGTAACTCTCTCCAACTCTTCATTTTTAGCTCCTAGAATGTTTGTAAGCAAATTATAAGCATTATATCATTTCACTATAAATGCTTCAGGATGTATCTCTAATCTAAAAAATCAGAATATTCAAATTTTATTATATTATTTTCACAATCCCACATCAATAATCCATATTCTGCGGGGTACTATTTAACATATGATACTTCTCTTTAATATCTCTCACCCTTTCTCGTACTCTATCCACAATCCTCCCTATGTCTCTTATATAAGCCAAAAGGCCTCTGAAGTTGCAATATTTCCTGGAATTTGTAACTCTAGTTCCAATGCCTTATGTATTTACCTGCCTATTCCATTTCCACCTCCCCAGTGAGACTATCCTTTATCACTCAAATGCAAGGGACATCCTCTGTCCTCCTCTACCGCACCACTTTGCTGTATTTTCTGCAAAGAGCTCACTCCTCCAAGGGCAGACGTCTTTATCTCTTTCTCCTGTACACGGGTGGCTGTCTCTACCAATATCTGTGCAATGTATCAACAGGAGACTTGGCTAGAATCTCCCACAGGAAGGAAATAAAATGGGTCTCGAAGTGTCCACACTATGAAGCACGAAGTACTGAAAGCCTTTCAACAAATACAGCTAAGGTTCAGAACCTCAGAAGAGATGGGCATCTAAGAAGTTCTGGTACATCTTGGCGAGGAGGTAGTGTCGGCAATAGACACTGAAGAAAACAGAGTTGGTTATTGAGAGAAGACAGAAGGCAGGACATGGCATTCCTAATGGTGGTCCCGTCTTTCCGTACTGGTTT